ACATACACCTCCCTCAGCCACTCTTTCATCATCTCCTCAATGAGGAGATGAGGAGTTCTGCATAAAGCACTTGCCTGTTCTTTTATACACAATCCACGCCCACACTTCCCCCTTCAACTTTCTCATTGTGGTCTCAAAAACGTCCGCAGTAACAACACACATAGGGAGCACAGCACTATAGGGCGCGCCGCACATTTTGAGGGAAAAAAAAGACGTTTATATGCGCCTTATAGTCGTGAAAATACGGTACCTTAATATAGGAAAAACATCAAACCTAAATGATGCTTTTTTAATTTGGGAAACTGGTAGAAGTAGCTTATTGTTTGTTGCAAAAGGCACTCAATGAACTCAAATAGTAACCAAAAAAACGTCATAAAACATTTTGTACACTACAAGTATTAGTTTAAAGTGAAATGTTTAGTGACACACAAAGTCCTGAAAGTGTAAATATATGTTTAATTACTGCAGCTTTCACTATGCCTTAAATGCAATGATGCCATATTGGACTTTGAGGTTGAGTGAAAAGCGTCTATCTTTCAAGCTATAAGAGGCCTTCCTGTTAGGTTTTTCAAATCGAACTTAGATACAAAAGCCAACTGTCAACTAGCCCCACAGGTGGCCCTGTCCAGGAAACAGGCTGACAAGCTTCCCATGTCAGAGTATGAAGAGAGCACAACCAGCTGGTCACAATCAGAGAAACAGGACTACACTGAAAAACTGGCCAAGCACCAACATCTATAAACAAAGGTGTTGATGGCAGCAGCACAGCTGATATTTCTCTCCAGGATGAAGTCACAGACAAACAGAAAAAACTACTATGAGAAAAAGCAGAGAAAGCATAAAGTTAGAGGTTAAACGTTAGAGATTCCAATTCAGCGTAGGATTTCAGCAGCTCGTAAATAAAGAAAAACTCTTGGCTGCTTCTCCAATTAAAGCTCTGCTTGCTTAACCTTAGTCATCTACTGCTGGTGGATTAAATGTCATGCAATCATTTTGAACATTGGCTTGAACTGCCTGATGGGATATTTAAAAGCTTAAGCTGCAGCAATGATCCATAACTCACTAGTCTGCTGTGATCATTTGTCTTAACAATGAAGTTTGTTTAATATTTTAATCAAACTTCTGAGGCCTTCACAGAATGGCTGTATTTGACTTTAAAAAAAAAAAAAATCTCCTAATTGGCTGACTGCTAAAAGCTGCAGGTTGCGCTGGATTTTATGTAGTGGTACTGAAACGATAAAAAAGTTCTAAGAGAGTGACTACTTTTGTAAAACAGTGTGTTAATATATTCTTCACACTTACAGAAACCATAGCACTGGCAGGTTGCATGCAGAAAATATAATGGGGTTTATGTTACCGACTTCCTGTCTTGTCCTATCAGGTTGTTTTTAACTTAAACACCTTTGGGGGTTTTTTATACCATATTTATACAGGGCACTGATTAGCAATGGCAGCAGAAAAAAAATATATGAGAGAACATGAAAATACAAATCAAACGTAAAAAGAGTTCATAGAGATTGAAAACAGGAGCAGCATTGTTGCTGCAAGAGCTGCCTACTTTGAAAGGCATTTTTTTTTTGTGAAAACAGAGAGGCCATTTGTTTAGGGGTATTTTCTGTAGCATAAATGTGTCTCCGATTTGCATGATCTTGAAAAGCACACAACTGCCCATGCTGAAATACACAAAGATTCAGGCTTTTTCTGCCAGCTGCTGTCTAATGCCTTTCAGACTGAGCTGAATCGATACTGTTGACCAGCAGCACTATCACAGTAGCCGGCAGAAAGCAGCACTGTCAGTTGTTTGGGGAGAAATGCAGCTACTAGGAGCAGCTGCTACTTTAACCTCATTTTTATACCAGATGCCTCCAAACCGTGTCCTGTTGGCTGTTTTCAGCTCTTAGAACGATGTAAGAATGAGAGATGATGCTAAATAGCTTTCTGAGAAGAAATCTTTACTAGTAAAAGTTATGCTTATACACAAAAGGTACCACAAAAATGTTTTTGTCTTTTATTAGCAGCAGCTTTTACATTTGAATTTAATAGTAAATAAGTATCTAGTAAACTTTATTCTAAAGCAATCTTGGGCACCTAATCTTGGCAAAAGAAAAATATAGCAAATGTTTTATTTATCTTCACCTGCAATGTTTTCTTGTTGGTGAGAAAATATTAAAATGTGTTCTTGTTTTTTTCTAGACCACAATGAAAGCAAACTATCATTGAAATATTTGAAAACATGTAGCTTTCTTTTATGAAAACAATAGACTAAAACCATTTTTTTTGTGTTGGCACCACCATGATGTCAAACTACCGTGTGTATTACATTAAAATGATAAATGTTAAGTCCTTTTTCAAAGCAGGTTATTGTCTAAGACAAAACACTAGATTTCTTTCCTCTACTTTTGATTTTTCTCTTTGGTTCTCTTTTTTCAAAGTAAAAAATATAAAAACCTCTCACCTCTAACTCAGAAGAGCTCCAGGGATCCAGCAGCAGAGACTTGACCTTGCTGATCTGAGCGATGTTTCTATGGAGGCCTGAGCAGCTGTGACACACAAACACCCCTAAGGTGTAGGATGCCCACTCTGGCTCTGCAGTTCAATAAAAAAAATAAAGATTATAAAAGAATATGTTCCTATTAATAAATAAATATGTGTATTTCACCGTCTCTATGAGGACAAGGCTCAGTGAAATCCTGGATCAGGTTACAACAAAGATTGTTTCTGAAAGCGCTGATTTCAAAGTAGATGATTGCTTATCACAATTGCATCAAGATGAACTGATATTATGATCAGTTTTAGCAAGACTGCTTTAAATTTAAACTAGAGCAAATATTTCAAAACAATTAAAACATTGATAAAATGCAAAGAAAGAATAGAAGAAGAATAGAGAATGCTTCTAGGTATTAGTCAGCCCTGCCATAAAAAATAAACACTTTATTCATATGAAGTGTTACTGGTCATTTTGCACTGGTCATTTTTTAGAGAATTAACTATTGAACTAAAATAACTAGTCTCTCTTGAGAATCATTTAAATGATCCTAGAATATTCATGTCATCATCAGATTTTCTAAGCTAAAATATTATAATGAAAGGATTTTATCTTCTGTATGTCAATGTGTACTGTAAGTGTTGCGTAACATTACTGTGCTTGTCTTGAGAAACCTAAAGTTTCAAAACTGCAATATTATAGTGGTTATAATCAGTTAAATGGGTACTTAATTTACATGATTAGAGGTAAAAGGAAAATAAAAAGTGAACTTGTGAAATTTAAATGAATTATGATCAAAAAGCTGTAAATTGAACTGTTTTTACACATAAAATACTTGCCAGTTACACTCAGACTACAGAGCCAAAAGTATTCCACTTAAATTTGTTTAGATATTTGTCATGCTCAAATTGCAAACCTAGATCTTTTCAAATATGATTTTAGATGATAAACCAATGCATAGAAGAAAAATATAATTGTGAAGATGAAAAAAAATATATTTGCAATTTTTAACAATGCAATAAATGTATTCGCTCCTACTACTTAATCAAGCCTAAACAAACTCAGTGTAATCAGGAGACTTCAAAAATCCTCAAACTCGCAAGCTGAGCCTCCTTACATCCAAATGTAGTTGAATTATAAATGTAGTTAATCTGTAAAGCTTGCAGATTTTCGTTAGAAATGAAAGAGCATAATGGTAACTAAGGGGTTGTTAATACAGAGGGGGGAGTGTTGGTCTCGTGGTTAGAGCAGTTCGCTTGTGCTCTGAGAAGTTTGCACTTATCGATCCCCACAGCCTCCACTCTGGGTTCCTGAGCAAGACCCTTAACCTCCCCCCACTCCGCAGGCGCCACACAATGGCAGCCCACTGCTCCACCAAGGGGATGGGTTAAATGCAGAGATAAATTTCACCAATGTGAGATCAAGGATTAGGACACAACCCTCAAACAATCATCCACACATGCAAATAGAAAAGCATAACAGAAAATCTGCAGAGGAGATTGCTGTTTTAGAGAAAAATCCATGGAAAACACATTGATGTAAAGTAAAAGAAAAAAGTAAAGAGGTATAGATCTTCTTGAAAGGCACTGACATTTCTCAATAGACATGCAATTTCAAAGTTAGGTTATATAGATTTTAAAAAGCTTATTCAGCCAAAATGAATAAAACAAATGTTGCAAAAGTGGGGCGTATGTGTAAACACCAGCGCAAAGAGGAAGAGAGTTTTTCTATTATTTTCCTTCACTCCGCTTGCATCACACCCAGGTAACTATCTCTATCCACTTCACAGATGTGAAATACATAGGAAAGATTATCAGAAAGCAACAATGCCTGTATGCTCATTACATTAACATTCAATGCACCAGCTGTGGTTAGAACAAACTATTCTTGCACAAAAGGTGTAACTGACTACAAACACACACACACACACAGAAAGGAAAACAGCGCTGCATTTCAGTATCTAATAATTACCTCATTGGTTTGAGGGTAAAACAAGAGCTGCTGTGGGGGTTATTTTCAAAAGGAAGGTTTACAGAAAAATGGGACAGTTGTAACTAAATTGCACTATCAAGTGAAAACCCTTAAACCATTACAAACAGAAACTGCCCCAAATGTGGTTAGAACATGCAGACAGACAAATCTAAAAGAGGAGCAATAGAGCAAGTTAATTCAGCTTTACTTCCTGTAAACCTGTAAAGAGTCAAGCGTTTGCAGAAAAAGTCATGCATGCACTCAGAAAGGCCTCACAATAGTGAGTGCACCCCTTAGATTTTTGTCATTTTTATCTTCGAGATTTTCAAGACAATGTTGAAGTAATGGCACTTTCTTAACCTAATGTGTGTACAGCTTGTACAATGGTGTTAACGTTCCTAGAGTGTCTAAATCTCTGTCACCAAAAGGGAATACAGCCCTAAGTTTTACGAAAATGTGTGAATGGGAAGCAGGTGTGTAAAATGTGTATCACCCTCACACTCTCTCATAATGGTCACTAGATGTTCAATATTACATGGCAAATAACTCTATGAGGGTCTGAAAAAAAAGAATCATTGCTCTAAAGATAGCTAAGCTTATAAAAAGAAAGCGAACACCCTGAGACAGATGTGCAGCTCCTACAGCGGGTTTGATAGGACAGCTTCTATACAGAACCGACCTCGCTATGGTCAACCAAAGAGGTAGAGTGCATGTGATAACCATCACGTCCAGAGGGTTTTTTGCTTTTTTTAACAGATGCGTGAGTGCTGCCAGTATTTCTGCAAAGGTTGAAGAGATAAGGGCAGGATTCCAGCGTAAATAAGACCCCAAACACACCTATATGGGTAGAAGTGCTGGACTGTCCAATCTCCAGACCTGAAAATTACTGAGAACTCTGCGACCTCCTTAAATGGATGCCGAACGAGTAAAAGATCTGTGCTCTAGTCATGGAGGATTGCAAGAAGATTCTAGTTGGAACCTGTAGAGCTATAGTGAACTTTATTCCCATGAGAGGAAATGCAGTTCTGAAAACTTTGAGCAAATTTGTACATTTCACTCGTGGGGGTGTGAACTTTTCCACCAGTGGTTTAGACACGGATGCTTATTTTGAGGGTATAGCAAATTCATGCTGTTAGACAAGCTAACAATATTATATTATTTTTTAAGTATAATATTTTCATTAATATCTTGAAAAATACATAATAAAATATAAATAAATGAGAAGAATGTACTTACTTTTGTGAAACTTGTAGGTCAAACTCCATTGAGCAATAGAGGAGACTTATCTCAATTCACAACTTTAATGTTTGACTCTATACTGAAAAAAATAATTTACTCAATCATATTTAGTCACTTTAACACAATTGTTTTATATCCTACCCTGCTAATGTGAAACAACTGTGTTAAAGTAACTAAATATGTTTAAGTTAATGCCAAAAACAGTTGCATTATTTTAGTATAGGAGGGAAACATACAGAAAACAAAAGCAGAATTCTTATAATAAAACTCTAATTACTATATATCTTTGGGAATATTTTGCAGCAGATCCAGCACATTTCTAAGCTGGGCTTGTTTGGGACTCTTATGTCCTAGACGAAGAAATTTGAGCAAGAAAACGATAGTAAATCAATAATAACCCTTAGAGAAAAGTAGTATACTCAAAGTGAATTCTATTAAGAATACTTAAGTATAAGTTTAGAATGAATACCGAACAATGTACTTTTAGTGTACTTGAAGTATTACTAAAGTAATTCTTCTTCCAACTAAATTGGGAGATATTTAAGTTTACTAAAGTATACTTAAAGTATACTTTAGTAAACAATAAAGTAAACAAAAGTACACGTGACTATACTATTGTTAAGTATATGAAATATAGTTTAAAATAAGTAAACTCTAAGTGCACTGCCTGATTTTAAGTATGAAATTAGTGCACTTTTAGTATACTTGAATAAACTACTTTTTGCTAAGGGAATGTCGATATTAATGCATGCAATATCACCAAAACAAACGACTGTTTGGAAATAGTAGAGTTTAGGTCAAATATCCATTTACAATCTAAATCTACTACTTTTTGTTGTATGGTGTTCTAAACAGCAAGTAAACTTTCCTTTGTTTCTGGGGAAAACAGACTAAAAACGATGACACTGAAAGATGTGAGTCAGAGCATCTCAAAAAAAGGGGCGCGCCGGTAAAGTTTCGAAATATACTCAAGAAAAAAATCCCCTGTGCAATAAATCATACCAGCAATCGGTTTTAAAGAGTGACTCCAAACTCACCTGGAACCCCGCAGTCGGCACAGTTTCCATTTCCAGGTTTCTTGAGGAGCGCTTTAATGCGCTCTCTGATCCTTTCCTGGTCTGAAGCCATCAGCGCTTCTCCACCTTCTCTGATTCCTTCTCACAGGCTTCAAGCGCTCCAGCTGGCATCCAAAGTTAAACTCTCTGCCCTCACGGAAGGAAAGGAAACCTCTAAGCTACCGGCGAGTCTGCTGTCATTTTTAGACGGCGGGAGTAAAAAACTTGGAGCATGCTCTGGTGTCTTGATGCTGTCAGACGCAAACTCTTCACCGCCTGTCTTGAAGTGCGACACCTAGCGGCAGCTTTGAGACATGGCGGTCTGCACAGGGAACACCCTTTCTAAGAAACATCTTGAGAAAACAGAAGTAGTGAAGTTATTCCCTAAGGACTTGCTCTTACATTCACAAGGTTAGTCATACAACCCGCAAGGGGCGGTTCCAGACAGGGGCCAACGGGGGCAAGTCGCACTGTAGCTCATGTCCTGGCCCCTGTTATGGCCCCTGTACTGAAGACATAATACTAAAAGAAATTCTAATGATGATATGTGCTGGAACAGACATGGTTTCTCATAGGTCCTTTGGACCTATTTCATTTTTATTTTTTATATTTTTTGTTTAAAATATTCTGTTTTACTAATTACTTAAAAACAATATGGCGATAGCGTCAGTGGTATTGAGATAGGATCCCAGTTTTCACCTGCTAAATGTTTTTTTTTTTTTTCAAAACAAAAAAAAATACAGCTGAATTTATCAGTTTTTCTTGAGTTCTAATTCTGATTTTATAGAAAACTGTAATTTTAACTTAAATCAAGTTAAGAATATGTAAAATTCCTAAATTATGAATGTATAATGATCTAATATTCCAAATAATAGCTTTTTTTGAGTTGGTTTTTTGCTATGCTAAGGGATTTTTATTTTAACGATAATTAAAATTTTTAAGCCACAAATAAAAATTTTCAGTTGGAAGTTTGAATTTTAATCAAACCTAATTGAATGGAAATTTCACTTCATGCAGCTCTCTTGATATATTTGAATCCTTGCCCTGGTTTATGTACTTCATGCTTTTTGGTGCCCCCATGAAAACACGGTGGCCCCACCCTGCCCCCCTGGAACATTTGGTCTAGAGCCGCCGCTGCAAACCGCAGTCAGCATTTGGGAACCAGTTAACTTTTTTTTTTTTAGAACACGCTTTTATTTATTTAGAAGAACTAGAAATGTCTGAGACACAGTCCTTATCAAAAGTATTCACACCCATTGAAGTTTTTTTTTTTTCACCTACTGTTCCATGAACAGCACAACTTTATTTTTAATTTAGAAACATTGCAGCTTCTGACCCACAGAACAGCACCAGATTGGACTCATTATGCATGATACTGGTGGAGTTTACAAAAATGTATACAAAATCAACCAAGCAATCTACTCCTCTATCATTACGGCTATCCTAACCTCCTCCATCATCCTCTGGTACGCTGGTGCCACCACCAAGGACAAGGGCAGACTGCAGCGTGTCATCCGGTCTGCAGAAAAGGTGATTGGCTGCCATCTTCCATCTCTCCAGGGTCTGCACGCCTCCAGGACTCTGAGGCATGCTGCAGGGAAGATTGTGGCTGATCCCTGGGACCTCAGCCACAAACTATTTCAGACACTTCCCTCTGGCAGGAGGCTGTGGTCCATCAGGACCAAAACCTCACGCCACAAGAACAGTCTCTTCCCAACCCCTACCAGCCTTATCAACAAGGCCCCCATGACAATGACACTGCCTCTCCCCCGTTCAGGACCTAGAAGCCACACCAACGTACCATCTCCAGACCCTCTGCATAACATTAACGCAGAATACTGTGTATATAGTATACAGCTATGTACTGTACAGTATATTGCATAGAATATATTGTATGTTTATATCATATAGAGCTATGTATATACATTTTTTCTGCATCATCAAAACCAAGTCAAATTCCTTGTAAGTGCAAACCTACTTGGCAATAAACTTGATTCTGATAAACCATGGGTGTAATAGTATAAAAAACAACTAGTTTAGTAGGATTTGTCTATTTCTGAATTGTTTTTTATATTAAAAACGCACATAAATATGGTTTACTATGAGAATTTTACCATCTTTATTACCCCATCGTGGGTCCTGACTCCAACCTTGGAAATCCTGCTCTTCAGAGAATTTACCTTATATGTGATAAACCAAAAAAAAAAAAAAAAATTATAATTAAGTGTAAGGAAAAAGGTACAAGATTTTGCATTTGATTAAAAAAAAAATAATAATAGATTGTGGAATATTCTAAGACCTGTAAACGTTTTCATCTGAGCTATTCCAGTCAGCTGTATATTTAGAGGAGCTCTTCAGGAAATCTGCAGATTTTCTTCAGGACTGTTTTTAACTTTGTCCATTTTTCTGTCAACTGAGCAGGTTCCCTGTTGCTTATGAGGAAATGCAGTATTCAGGGTGATTTCCAGTCTTGGTTCCTCTGATTTATAGCTTTGTGTATAGTAAAGTTATCTTATCTCGCCAGTGGACTTTTTCTTGCATTTTAACTTAGCTGTTGGCAAACAACCTTTTTTGGCTTTCTTTTTGCCATTAAGAAATACTCATGGGAGTGGTAGGAAAAATATAAGCAACAGGCTAAGAGAGGAGAGCATTTCCTCCTCTGGGATCACTCTGAAGGAGCCACAAAAATCTGTCTTAGCTATAAGAAGACAATCCTGCAGACATGTATCCATCATATGTTGGTATGTCATGTACAATGTAAAAAAAAAAATGGGTAAAGTTTGTAAAAAAAAAAAAAAAAAAAGTGAGTGATTTATAATTAGCTAAATATCCATAAAATTAGATGTTGTTAGAAAGTTTGAGTTTAAATTTAAAAATATGTGTAGATCTTTATTTTTGGTGAGAATGGAGAAATATACTTTTTTTCCCAATACTTAACACCTATCACTACTTAAAAAAAAGAAAAGAAAAAAGTAGAAACTATTAACTTTACATTGTCTTCAGTTCTGAGACCTGCCTTCCTGTATTTATTACATTCAAACAAGTGATTTTTTAATAAATATAACTTTTGGAAAAATGTTGACTACCCACTGTGCTCCATTGATATAAGTTCATATATTGGTTTGCTTTCAGTCTCGTTCAGAGTTCTGCATTACAACACCCAATAGAGATGAGGGGGTCTAAATATATAATTACAGATTTAGTTGCTTATCAGATCAAGATCACAATAACTTCTACAGAACTCTTGTAAGTTGACCTTAGAAAAAAATATAGCAGAGATGGTGAGAGATAAAAAAAAAATTCAAGTATATACGCAATTATGGTGAAGTAAACATGTCTTGTAGTTAAATGCTTGCTCATGTTCAATTTTAAGCATTAAAAATGCAGAAGGTTTAGACACACGGACACTGACGGAGCAATAAAAGTTAACCACAGAGGGTTGATTATCTACAGCTTCTAAATAATTTTAGAAATTAATAAAGTCATATCTAGTGGGTGTCGATCTGAGAAGTTCAAGAAAAATAGCTATTCAGAATATTGAATGTTATGCATTTTTATTTTTCACAATGTCTAAAAACTCAATCAATACAAGGTAAAAAGACGTCACATTTCAAACAAAATGTTGGCAGATGGCTGTGGAGACAACATAAAAAGGGAGCCAACTTTCCAAGAATATTCTTAGCCAAAAATATGACAAAAAGACAAAAAAAGCACCCCGACTTTTACAAAGCAGACTTAGAGCTACAACAAGGATGATTTCCTTCCCACTGAAGTCATCAAAAAAGTAAAAGTTTTAGGCGATCTGATGTCAGAATCTATGAAACCATGTGATATCTGAATGCGAAAGCTGTTTATCTGGAAGAGTTGGAGCTGGAGCGAGAGCGGTGGCGCCTACGACCGGGAGATCTGGAGCGAGAGCGGCGGCGTACAGGGGACCGCCTTCTTGGAGAGCGGGACCTGCAATGGACAAAAATAAACACGAGCAGCCATTAGGGTCGACAGCAGTAAAAGACTGATTTATCTAGAACACTAATAGAGACGGTACCTTCTCCTCATGCGTGGTGGGCTGCGACGCCACATTGGTGGTGGTGGGGGCATTCTCCGAGGAGGAGGAGACAATCTACGGGGTGGCAGACGAACCCGCTGAGTCAGCACAGCAGCTGCACTGATTTCCTGTCCATCAATCTGACCTGAACATACAAGGCCGAAGACGGTTAACAGTGAACACAGAGACCCAGAGGAAACTGTAGGCAATGAAATGAACACCAACCTCCATCCATGTGTTTCAGGGCCTTTGCTGCCTCCTCAGCAGTCTCAAACTCCACATAAGCGTAGCCTTTGGACAGGTGTTGGTGAAGCCTATCCATGGGCATGTCAATCATCTTTATTTTACCATAAGTAGAAAAGATCTCCTGGATATGGTCCTGTTAAACCAACAAGCACTGTAGTCAATGAACTTGAAATCTATTTGATTGTGTACATATGACTATA